GGAGTTTGTTATAACTACAAATTGTTATTGTTTTGCATAAATAATTTTTCCTTTACAAAATGAAAATGTTTTGCTACGCATTTATTTTTTGGGGGTAGCCATTCTTATTAATAAATGCTGACCAACACAAGTTTGATATGGATATTATTTAATTTTGATATTTAATTTATTTTTTAGTTAATATGCTAAGTTTTCCCTTTTCTCTATGTTTTCTGGTCTATTAAGGTTTATTTATAGATCAATAGCAAACCACACCCACCTCTCATTCCATTTTCCCTTCTTACTTCCACTGACTAGCTTTATCTTTTGTAACTTTACTGCAACCAAATTTAAACACTTACACTTGCCTTCAACAAAGGATTGTGAAGCCTTCTTGAAATTATAGTTTGCAGTCCTGATTCAGACGGAAAATACAAGCCGCAGCTTTCTAAGGTTGGTGTGATGGCAGGTTGTGGTGAACTATTATAGGAGCAACTGGTTGAAATTAAAAGCACAAAGAGACAAGAATCATAGGGTTCGAAGATACTTCGTGAGCCATCCAGTCCAATTCCCTACCAAGAAGCAGGAAAATCACTTTCAAAGCACCCCTGGAAGATGCCCATCCAGCCTGTTTAAAGGTCTCCAAAGAAGGAGCCTCCACCACACCCTGGGGCAGAGAGTTCCACTGCTGAACAGCTCTCACAGTTAGTAAGTTCTTACTAATGTTCAGGTGGAATCTCCTCTCCTGTAGTTTGAAGCCATTGTTCTGCGTGCTAGTAACCAGGGCAACTTGCTCCCTCCTCCTTATGACTTCCCCTCACATATTTATCCATAGCCATCATGTCTCCTCTCAGTCTTCAATTCTGCAGGCTAAACATGACAGCTCTTTAAGTCCCTCCTCATAGGGCTTTTTCTCCAGACCCCCGATCATTTTAGTTTCCCTCCTCTGGACACATTCTAGCTTGTCAACATCTCCCTTCAATTGTGGTGTTCAGAATAGGACACAGTATTACAAGTGTGGTCTGATCAAGGCAGAATAGACATGACTTCCCTGGATCTAGACACTACACCCCTATTTATGCAGGCAAAAATCCCATTAGCTATTTTAGCTGCTGCATCACATTGTTGGCTCATATTTAACTTGTTGTCCACGAGGACTCCAAGATCTTTTTCACANCATCACATTGTTGGCTCATGTTTAACTTGTTGTCCACAAGGACTCCAAGATCCTTTTCACACGTACTGCTCTTGAGCCAGGCATCACCCATTCTGTATCTTTGCATTTTGTTTTTTCTGCCTAAGTGGAGTATCTTGCATTTGTCCCTGTTGAAC